AACCTTGGGTATCACAAAAGTTTCAAGAAATGTAAAGAGAAATTTGAAAATGTTTACAAGTATCACAAAAGAACCAAAGATGGCCGCGCATCTAAAGGAGATGGCAAAAACTATCGTTTTTCAAACAATTGGAAGGGTTGGAAAACATCACTTCTCAACAAGTGAACGCGTCTAATTTTTCATCTCATCAGAATGTTTCAGCAATGTCGTATTCAACTTCTTCGTCCAATGAGAATATACAAAGAATGGATAAGAAGAAGAGGAAATGGAAGGATTATTTTGAATACGACATTGCTGAAATATTCAGATGCGATGGCAAATTTGACGTGTTCAGTTGTTGAGAAGCGATATTTTCCAACGCTTTCAATTGATTGGAAATACGATAATTTTTTCCATCCACTTCAAATGCACGACAATCTTTGGTTCTCTTATGATACTTGTAAAGATTTCCAAATTTTTTTACATTCCTTGAAACTTTGTGATAATCAAAGTCAGCCTTTTTCCTGGTCATGATAACAACAGTTGGCAAAGTATAGAAAAATGGTAACACACAAGTACAATAATAACCAAATAAAAAACTACAATTATTCAATGCCTTGGTTAATTAATTCACCAGTAAAACAAAATTTTCCAGATAGTACTATGTCTAGTAGTACAATTCACCACATAAAATAAACATGAAGATTAAGATATCACTAATCAAGATTAAGGTAATTTAGAGTTCAATTAATTAAACTACTAGGTTACTCATTCCGGATGGTGACCTTATTCAACTATCTATAATCTATGAACATTCTCAAGATACCAACCATTTTCTTTACAATCAATACCGGAGCACCAAAGGAGAAGTACTGGGACGAATAACACCTTTATCAAGAAGTTCAAATATGATCTTTAAGTGCTTAGAATTATACACCCCTTCATACTCTAATTTTTTACAACCTGGGATCATTAGAGTCATTGTCTTAACATTACAATTGAGCACAACAAAGTGATGGGACAACCAAGTCATACCCAAGATCACATCAAAATCCACCATATCCAGGTTTACTAAATATACCCAAGTCTGAAAACCCACAAACATAAAAAAATCAAGACTGATATACATGTGTGACAACAACAAATTCTCCAACCATAGTGGAAACATGAATATGGGCATCAAGAATACCACAACTCAAGTAGAGTCCAAATGCAAATCAAACAAATAAATATGAATAGGTGGAGCCCATATAAAACAAAATAGATGCTATCTGGTCACAAACAAGAATAGTACCTGTTATAAAATCATATGATTCGTCAACTTCTAATCTTCCAAGAAAAGCATAATACAGAGATCTATCATCATTATGGGAAGCCCCCTACTAGGATGCACATCACTTCTTTTTGCATTTCCATTTCTTTAACTCCACGACCTCCCTGATTGCCTCTTCGCCCACCCTATGGATGTCCTCTGCATTATTATCTCTACCTGCTGGTACTATGGCCTTTACCTATTGTTGCGCCTAGGAAACCATCTGTCGGTGAAACACTCCTTTTTGAATGTCCTTGCTCACCACAACTGAAGCATTTGTGGTCAAGTGAGATCCTATTAGTTGATGAGTAAGAAGCTCTTTGACTACTTTGAGTTAGAGACTATTGTGGAACCCCTGATAACCACTCATAGAAGCGGGCATAGCCGACTTAATCGGACGGGCTGAATACAAAAGTAAAATAAATGAGATTATTGCATGAGATTATCAACATGATGTCATTTCATATTCCTTCCCTATGTTTTCCCCAACATAGTAGACATGCATAATTTCATAACTTGGAAAAAACAACTATTACCTACCTCGAAACAAGCATGAATGCTTTAAAGATCCCAAGTATTCGCCCTTTGGAATGCCTTGGCTTGTCCTGGGTCTGAAAAAATAAGTTAAAACCATAATAAATAAAGAATGGCCTAACAATACCTGAATTATACTCAAATCCTAACCCTATGCAAATTCATGATCATTCTTCCCAAGTCGGATCTTTTCTCACCATTAAATCAAGTCAAATCCTCTCCTAAGAGTAATACCCTAGATTTTAAGGAATAAAAATATTACAAGATAGGGGAATAATAAGCATATCTTTAACAATGAATTTAGTGGAAAAGATGTGGAAACTGCCCTTAATTGCCTTCCCTTCACCCAAGAATGAAGCTACAGAAAATAAGAGGTTTATAGGTTTTTTCTGCATAAAACCCTAATTTACGATTATAGCGGCGTCTTCATAGCGGCTTCCCCTGCCATAATGCCTACACAACCGTTATAGAGCCTGCACAGACATCCCGCTACAGCGGTCTGATGCCATCTATACTGGCTTGCACAGAATCAGAGACTCAGAAAATTTCCAAAAAGTCCCCATTTTGCAACATACCTTCGACCCTTGATGTCCCATACTAACCCTTTCATACCTAGTTCGATTCTAGGATTTTTACTCATCCAAATTTGATTCAAAAAATTCATAAGTGTTGCTTAATGTCTTATGTAAACCAATCTTAGACATATCACCTAAATCATTCCTGGATTTCCCTAGACCTCGCCTCACTCAAACTCCATGTGAAACTGGCCTACCCTAGAATTTTTAAGTCTTACCCAAAAAGTTTTTTTGACCCAATTTTATCACCATTTGGTCTACCCATAATGATCGGAATGGGTTTTTACCTAAGTGCAAAATAATAGGTGAATAAAAGGGAAAAAATGAATGACACAATTTGATTTTGAAAGAATCTAACTCACCATTACATAATCACTGACATTTACTATTAGAGAAAAAATGCATATAATTTAATGTCTCTCTCGTGTTTATATGCCTCCGATTGGCTGTTGAGCTATGCTTTTCTTAACTTGAATTAAGTGAAGCAAACAGATTAGTAAAAGTAGGAACACATATTTACAGAAATAAATATTTCAGGCCCATTATATCACAAATCATGTCAAGTTCATTCTAACATTCATCTCTGGAACCCTTGATCTATAGGTCACACATGGACAAATTTAGTATTGCTACAACATATCCTTCCCTCAGGCATATTAAAGGATAAAGATAAACCCTATGCCAATGAAAATTCAATCTTAACAATAATTCATATGTGAAGATTCAAGCAAGTATAAGGTAAACAAAAAAACAAATGAATTGTCTGTTGATGCCTTTTGATTCGTAAAAATGCATTCTTTTTGGACCACTAAAATATTTACTAAATGAAATATTTTTATGTTTCTAATAATAGAGTTTCACAGAATTAAGATTGGAAGAATATAAAAGAAACACCCAAATTTTTTTCATCCAAAGACTATCTAAAAAGTAAAAAATGCCAAAAAAAAGGGTGGAAAACTCCAAAAAAATTAGAGAAAACACATAAATATTATCATTGAAACAACAAAATAAAGGAAAGAATCTTTTACTAGAAACATAACTGTTGAGAATGTCAACCCACATGTTTGTAGAATGGATTCTTTTGTTGGCATTGGTGTTTGTTGGAAACACGGTACATGTTTTGTTTCGAGGAAGTTTTTTATTCCTGTAGTATTTCAATTGGTAAATACATGTTAGGAGACTTGCAGGTTTCTCCATAGAAGTAGTAGATTTACAACAACTATGACTTTTTACACCGATCGTCTGAAATCTTCACAAAATCCCCATGTTTAAACAAACTATATATCCTTTAGGTGATGTAAAGAGTGTTTTTGTTGTGTAAACCCTAGCAGTCAAATAATGTGGAAAATCCCCTCTTATTCCACATCCTTAATGGTGTATTCATTTATAAGGAGTAGGGTTAAGGAGGAGGACAACCTAATGGGCTAACGGGTGAACTAGCACCATTATGGGTTGACCTTCCCAATAGTTATTTCCAAAAATTCTATTCCATATTTATTAATAAATTTTTATTTTAGTCCTTACAATACATGAATAAGTAAATTTATTATTCATTTGAGTATAAAAAAAATTTCAATTCTTTTAATAGTTTTCTTATAATTTATATTTGGAGAAAACCTTATAACATATGTTTCAACTCACTTTTGACTGTTAAAAATATTTTTATTTCAAATTTTACTCTGATGTTTGAATTTCATAAAAATAATTCCATCTTTTGTATCGCCATCAAGCAGGATGAGAATTGACAATGCTCTTCATCTTCTTGGTCAACTAATTGGAAATATCATTAAAAAAAAACAACTAGTTACTAATGTTGTTGATTATCTTTTGTACTAATGATTATTTTGTAACATTATTTAAAATCGATCAAGTGTCATAGAATGTTGTAGCTCATATATGAGATCCAATGTGTGTTGAGATATGCATCCTTTAGAGCAGTTTTGATTGTTATTTTTCATACAAATTAGTCAAGTTGAGTGATATTGACATATTTTAGAAATTGTGAGATATAAATCATATTTCATATCTTTTTAGGAAAAGCATTCACACATGAGAATTATTCCAAATATTCTTTGAAAAAAGTATCTAAATTATCAATCCACAATACTATCATGGAACGATGTCCACTCCTAAGTAAACATTACAGTGCTCCAAGACCGAGCCGAATCCAATCCCAAATCAGTTAGTGAAGCACAAAAACTTGAATATCACAATGGAGCCATAAAAAGAGGGGGTGAGGGCAGAAAGTCGCCAAAATTGGGGAAACGCCTAAACTTAGGCTCATTCTGTCAGACTCAAGTTTGCTACACATGTCTACAAGGATCAAAGCCTAATATAAATGTCATAAGTCTAAGGTCTAAGCCTAGATAAGGTAAAAGTTGCTCAATTATATCACAACAGCACACAAATCAATCACAAGATGAAGACAATTACAAAACCTCAACTAGCATTGTACTACACTGAAAATAATATCAAATCAAGCCTAAAACATGGTTTCTAAGAAATGCAATAAGAACATTTAGGTACCTGCCCCAATTCACGCTAATCAACACGAATTCATACATTCAAGCTCAATCTAGGGGAAGGAAAGTCATATCCTACCTTAAGGCTGACCGTGCGCACTCCAAATCACCTCTCTGGAGTTTTTCCTTTCTGAATGGACTAACAATTTTGTCACGCTATCAAAAATAGAATCACATTGTTAATAGAGTTATTTAAACACAAAAACACATAAAATGGAGACGGGCCAGTTCTGCAGTAAAAATGAGAATCATGGAACCCACATAGGAATTTATGGAAACGACCCCGTCTAAAGGTCAAATTAGTACCCCGAGCTTGTGTTCTAAAATGGAACATAATTCGGGGCTCATATCAAAGGAAACAATCAACATGTAAGTACTTTGCCATTAAAACATAATAAAGAAATAGTTGTATCCCACTAATATGTGATTTTACCTCAAACGAAGAAACCTTAACAACTTCTGATCACTCTCCCATGTAGCCACAAACTCCACAAACCCACAGGACTTTGAATCACCTCATTCATAGTTATATTTGAGTAGAAATATCCAAAGGAAAGTATGAAATGAATATTGATCGAGCCTGTATTTATTATTAAAGATAGACCAAGAATACTATGCACAAACATGTTAGGTCCCTGTGAATGTGGACCTCGCAAATGTAGCAAAGACCCCACGATTGTGGCCAACAAGAAACTGTGTGACCCGAAAATATGAACCCTACAATTGCGACTGGTTTTCACGAACGCTTTCACTCGTCTACCTAGGATCTGTGAACGTGACCCATGACCCATGAACTTGAAGGCTAACAATGGCCTATACCAGCTCATGCACATCAACTGCTTTTTAGCAACAACTATCTCCAATAGTTTGTTCAAAATACGCTCTGAACCCCGTGCATGTAAACAAGATATTCTACCCTAATAAATTTGATATAACACACTCAATGGAGCAGTCAAACACCCATACGAGATCATCTTAGAAAAAAGTGGGTCCCACACCTAACCTCCATTTTAAGTCAAAATCAACAAGGTGCCTTGAAACTAGCCCTGGATTCACACAAAGGGTAATTCTAGACCAAACTCGACATTACCGAGCTAACCACGCTGACAGAATTATTGTTCGGGCATGTTTACAAATACTGTTGATCAGGGTCAAACTTAGGCCAAAACTTGAAAGTTAAAACACCTTCTAGCACCAACTCACACTGTAAGCCTCAGGATTCATGTCGGCCATGCTTCTTGCTTTAAAAGACCCTTCCAGAGTTTATGGAACCATAAGAGTTCGATTCTGAGGTTTCCTTCCTAAACTTTTGATCAAAATCAACCCCTTCAAGGTTTAAAAGCTCGAAAACATAAAAAATTTCATAAAACCAAATAAATGACTATGTGACCAAACTTTTTGTCTGAGCAAGTCATTAATGACTTAGATTGCTATAGGAATGTTTTAAATGACTAACACAAGGCATCAATATAAGAAGTACCTGGAGGGTCATAACAATCATGTCGATCATTTATGAATAGTCCTCCAAAATCTCAAGGACCGGGAGTTATTTTCCAATTTTTTGATGTGTGAATTTTTGCTTGAATCCATGGTGTTCTTAGGCCACATTGTGTCTGGCGAAGGTATTCGAGTCGATACATAGAAAATTGAGGTAGTGTAGAGTTGGCCCAGACCCATATTCCTAATTGATATAAAGAGTTTTTTGGGTTATGTAGGTTACTATAGAAGGCTCGTCGCATGTTTCTCATCTTGAAATCATTGCATCATGTATTGTAAACTTTTAAATGATTTTACTTCATTCTTTACTTTAGTGGAGTTACTTTCAGTCCTTCCATTTAGTTATTTATTTTATTTTGCTTTATTACATACCGTGTATTCCATATACTAACGTCATTGGATGTTGCATCATTTCATGATGTTGATACAGATATTCAGGATCATCAACATGTGCTTCGTTGAGATCACATTATCCACTCGTCAACTTTTGGTGCGGCCTCCTTAATTTTGGGAGGACTCCAGTCGCTTATTGCTTTAGTAGTATTGGTTAAGTTAGTTGCGGGTCTTATCCCAACACCTATATTTTGATAGTAGAAGCCTCAAAGAAATACAGAGTTAGTAAGTCTTTTTGTTTTCGTTTCAGATGTTTTGTTAAAACTTGATTATTTATACTTGGTATTTTGAAACAACTTTAAGATTCAACTCATTGCTTTAAATGTTCTTCAGTTTTAAGCGTATAAATGCTTGAGTTAGTCTTCTTCTAATTAGTCATCCAGGATAAGGGTTCTCTTGGGGATCGTCAATAGTTTTCGAGTGTCTGCCACGTCCAGAGTGTAGATTCGAGGCATGAAAAATGTCTAGTACAAAGTTTATCGAGAAAAACATTTGGTTCCAAACTAAAAACTCAACACTCTACTACACTTATGCTTCTCTTCCAGTTGAATATTAACAACAAAAAAAATCGAACAGATTATTCCCAAACATTCCAGCCACAACAATATCATGAAAACACCTTTAAAATCCCAACTTCATATAACAATCCAAATACGATTTTTCTACCATCCAATTGTAAGTCCTTGCTTACATAGCTTAACTATTACTTTGATTAACTCAACTAAATATGAAGAGTGATATTACTACCTCAAAATAGTAGCAAGACACCAAATAAAAGATATTCTTTCTCATTGAAGAATCCTTCAACCCACAAGCAAAGATGAGGGAACAAGTAACACAACTTCTATGAGCTTTCTAGCAATGAATCTCCTTGAAATCTTGTAGTTTTTTCTATATTTGGTTGAAGGGGAACTCTTAGAGAGAGTTTTGAAGTGTTTAATATTCTGAATTGGGCAAAATAAATAACTCAAACGAAGATGAAATGTAATATATATCTAAAATAATCTCCATCGACTTAAGGGGCCCACCCTATAGGCTACATGTGCAGTCTCACTACAATATGAATATCTCTGTAGTACGATTTCGTATCGACAAATAGTTTAATGCATTGGAAACTAGACTCATAGACCTTCAATTTATATTTTGTTGGTTCTCTATCTCTTTGTAGATAGGGAGATATGCTTGTTCAAAGATAGGCTATATGGGACAATTTTGGAAAACTTTGTCTTAATAAGCCTCTAACTTAAACTTTTTGTGTTAAAGGCTTTCCTTGTCCTAAAACATGATTTTTGAACTTCAAATACTTCCATATACATTTCTTAGTAAAATTATTGATTTATATGCTCATTTCCATTTGTTGACGTCAACTTAATAGCACATGTACTAGTAGTTCTAGGGTGTTACAATAGAGTTCAGTGTACTAATCCCACACCGAAAAGAGAGTGTCCTACTTGCCAAGGTAAGGACCTTAATTATGAGCTTAGGTGGATCTAGTAGCTAGAGTCAATTAAGACTAAGTCCTATGGGGGCACGTAATTCTAGGACCTGGATAATCACCACTAGTCCAACTCAGTGCTAAGTAAACTATCAACCAAAAAAAGCATGATAATAATCATATTCATAATCCTTGAAACAGTAAGAATCTAGTAATATCAAATCATTCATAAAATCTCATTGTCATAAGCATAGCTCCTTTAAAATCATGATTCATAGCATACTCTTTAAGATACTTAATCAAGAGCATCTAAATCATGATAATCTTCATAAAGAGGAGTACTTCAATTGGAAGCACCATAATTTCATATAACATGTTAATACTTTATTTGAAAACATACTTCATTCATAAAATGCTTCATAACATAATGCATATAAATCATCATGGCTTGATTCATAAACATAAAATACTTGTGTAGCATGGTTTCATAAAAATATCATTAAAGATATTGAATTATGATCAAATCATGCATAATAATATCAATGATGATGAATAAACTTAAAAACAATTGAACCCATAAGAAAATCATGACACACTAGAATGGGGTGAGAATCATAATTGAAAATTTGAGGTTTCTTTAGGACTCAATGGGTGAAGAAGAACCCATTGATGAAGTTCCCACAAACTTTGATGAAACCGTAATTCAAATTTGGAAGAGGAGACTTGAAACCCGTGGAGCTCTGTAATCCTTATTCTTCCTTGGGAGAGAAGATTTGAGCAAGAATTTGGAGTTTGAGAGAATAAGGGTGAATGGGGTTGGATAGGGTCTTAAGGAAATCAGTTTTACTCTTCAAACTAGGCTTAAAACGATATCGTATAGGAATTAAAAGAGTAGGGAAAGACCAAAATAACCCTAAAAATATAACTACCGAACATTTCTATGAACACCTTCTACGGTCCGTACATGCTTTTATGGACCGTATTGTCTGTCTGTCAATGTACTGACTAAAATTCAAAGCCTCTGACTATAATCCATGACACCCTTTCACGACCCGTCATTCCATATACAACCCATATAACTTCCTCATAGAATGGGTCTGGAGAATAGTCCTGGGTTTAGGCTTTGAACCACGAACACTAAGTACAAATCATGTTTCCTTTTACGACCCGTATTGGCCAGCCGTATAACCCAATAATGAAATCATCAAATCTTTGAGGGATAACTACGACACACCATCTATGAGTCGTAGAACTAAGTACAACCTGTAAAGTCTAGTCATAGAAATCAAGGCACAAAAATCACTTAGTCCTTAAGACTACATCTACGAGACCCAATTACAACTTGTGTTCCTAACCACGGGTCGTAAGGGTGACTCATACAACTAGATCTGAGACTTGACATTTTCAGAAATTTTAAGGCATCAACCACAGGTTTCCACGAACCATGAAACTATGTACAGCCTGTAAACCCAACTTATGAACCACTACACCAACAATATTTACACCAAATTTTGGTACATTTCTAATTCCAACTGAGCTATGCACTTCCGAGGTGTTACATAAAGAGTACCCATTTCCATTTTTTCCTACTGATGTTGTTTTGTTTGTTTCCTTCAATTGCCAGAAAACTACGATCGAGTGGAATCATTACATGAACCTAAAGTGTAGGTATGATCAAGTGAAGTTGTCATATGGAGGTCAATCCTTACATACAATCGCGTGGACCTATCACCCCAACTTAGAGGCCAAGTACATAACAGGAATGTTAGTGAAGGCCAAGCTTTTTAAGTCACTACCTATATGGAGAATACACATCTTGGTAAAATAAGGCAATATGTTACTTCCTTTTTTTTAACTAATACTAGTATATATACATGTGTGATGCCTGAAATATTAAAGTATTATTTTTAATTTCTTAGATTCTGATGTCTTATTCAATCATCTTAAATTATATTACCTTTAAAATATCCAATTATATTGTTCCTTAATGAAATATGCTTCCCGTTCTATCCATCTATAACCAAATCTATATGTATAGAGATAACGAAGCCTGTAACTTTCAAATAAATGTAGAAAATCTTTTATGGATATTTGTAGTCATTTAAAGTTAGATTGCTTTACCATAAAATATCGTCTTTACCATTCCTAAACAAGGCCTAGTTGATATATTGTTTTACCCTGAAAAGTCATCGGAATTAAGAAA